TTTTTTTTTTTTTTAATTGTAGCCACGAAAATGGAAATCTGCACTTTATATGTTATAATTCAGTTCTGGATGTTTATTTCGTTCAATTTGTATTCTACGATGATAAGAGCTATTAATATGTTTCACGCGTTAAATGATATCATAAAAAAATATTATATTTGTAATATTTTGTATATTGTCTATTACGTGTATTCTACAAATTTTTTTCACCTTTTATAAATGTATAAACGTATGTGCAGATAGCAGCATCTTGATTTTTGTGAAATTGAAATTTCAAAGTTTCTAAACAATTCAATTATCCGACTTTTTTTCGTAGTTAATCGATCAATTAATAATAATCAAGGTCCTACTGATTTTTCATCCTCTCTGTCTAATTTTTTCGATTTCTTTTTTTTTTTTTGATTGTAGATCATGTGTGCTTCGAAATATTAATTATTTACTACGTGTTGACTTTCTGACGAAATAAATACTAATAATTGCGACAAGTAATAACAACATTCAAAAGCGTGAAATTTGTAACGTCGCAATATTGCCAAAGTTGCAATTCTACTACCGCATTGATCAAATTTTCAAAGTCTCAAGTCAGATTTTGAAGAACAGGCCAGCAAGAAATCACTGACAACTGATCCTCTCGTATTTCGTCTAATCACATTTCCCCCGAACTTAGAATCCGTCAGAGAATTTTATCGATCTTTCCTTCCGTCTTAAAATTCTAAAAAACTGAAAAATCGTCCTTCAGTCTCAAATTGAGGCAGCAGTCGAGGTATAAGAAAAAAGCTGAGAACCGTAGCAGGGTTAAGAAATATACATTGTTGACCGTGAAAAACCAGTGCAATTGAATTCAACGAAGAGCACTCACGACTCTATTTACACAGATCTACGTCTGTGCGTTGACTGGCGGTGGCTCTTCTGCATCCTCTCTGAGCTCCTCCGCGGCCGGAGGCGGTGAGATTTGAGGTCGGTTCCGAGCTGGCGATTGAATCTGATTCCTCAACGATCTGCCGAACGTTCGTACTCGCTCGCAGGAGATGGACAGGCAGTAGAGCGCGATCAGGATGACAAGAAGCAGAAACGTAGAAATTATCATGCGACGAATGCCGCATCTTCCTCTCGCCGTGGCCTTCAGGATCGGTTTGCAGGATGGCAAGATGTCTCGAGCGGAGATGTAACAGCCCACGGGTTGGGGCGGAGCGCCGGAAGTTCCATTGCAGTCGCAGAGCGCCTCCACCGCGAGGAAACCCATTCAGTATTCGGAATTTTGACTTTGCGTCTGCTTTGCCGGGACTGGGAGCTGTTTAATTTTGTCCACGCTGGATTTCCATCACCGGAAGTCGATCGTCTGATTTCACGCGTCCGTTGCAGGCGTTCCGCTTTAAGGCTCGATACGCATGAATCTTTTACCTAGGCGCAAATCTTTCGCAGCAACGAGCGCGATTCCGATCAGAATTAGATCTTTTGATCAATGACAGTTCTTTCCTTGCGTAACGATTTTTAGACTGGCAATGTTTAACAGAGAGTAGATACATTTGTGGGAAATTTAAAGACGCGTATAATATTTAGTACCAAATACATTATTTACAATATTGAGAAAATAATTTTCTTTTTACATTCTTCAAATTATATTCGTAAGATATATGAACTTGCATAAATGTTTATACTCTGAATATGTTTATAGTCTGAATGTCGTTAAATTACGACAGGTCATTAGTTACACGTAGGTTATAGATTCCTTTTTCATCGAGCAATGAAATATTATATTACACTTGTTCGATCGTTAAACACGTCAATTTTGTATAAGCATTTTTATTAATATTATAGTGACTTATGATCATTACATGATGACGAAAGAAAAAAACTATTACAAAAATTCTATAAGATTTTTTTTTATATTAGTTTATATCAGTTTTTTATATTGGTTAAGTTGTTAGATCATTTTGGTTTAGAAAACTTTTCTTGAAAGTACATATAGACGACCATCGTGACATATTGCCAGGATGAAAAGAGCTTTCTACATATCTTAAATATAAATAAGCTGAATAAAGTGAGATGTACAGAAAATTACTCGGTAGTGATATTTGAAACTGGTTATCCTCGTGTTAATCAAAAGATAACAGAATTAATGGAGCATAAATCGTCACGTATCTTATTTGCGTTATTTACTTATTACTTTCCTCCAAACTCGATTTAGAAAATTTCAATTGTACACTTTACGAGACGCGTCTATATCAGACACCAGTTTAATTTCATTTAATTTAACTCGGTTCGCGAAGCTGTTTGAAGAATACGTGCAATGAACCATAGGTCAGACGTTATAAAACGTAACATGCGATATCCAGAATTCCGAGGAGTACAATTTGATTTAATATTAAATTGAAGAGTATCAAGCACGTATCGTGTATTAAAAATCTACGCCAGCTCGCGGAAAGCAACGAGTCATTCAAAGAACATCAGTTTCTATTTTCTTCTCCTATATATATATTGAAGATTGTTTTCCAAATTATTAATCATTTCGATAAGCTTCCGTTTAAATAAGGTTAGAAGTACAATCAGCCGATTGACACGTGAGACTCTGCTCGAAATATACATCGCTACTAAACTGTGAAAACACAAGCGCAAACATTTCAATCCGCGTTGTTGCGTTTTGCATTCGAGCGAAACTCGAGACTTTCTTCCCTGGCCGAGCTGAAATTTCATTTTCCACGCGCGCGTGTGTGTGTGTGTGTGTGTGTGTGTGTGTGTGTTGCACGTAGTTCCATTCCGCGCGAGTTTCCCAGCTGCGATTTCGTTTTCGTTTTCGATTGTGCTTTGACGACTTTTAACGACAGTGTCGCGGACAGTGGCCACACCGACGTCGTTACAAGGGACAAGAGTTGACGAGAGACAAGACCTATATTTTCACCTGGTATCTGGAATCGAGAGAATCGCGACTGCAGCCCGGAATCGTTTGCGGTCGACCTGAATGGAGTCAGAACTTCCAGATTATGAACATAGTTGACGATTCTCTCTCTCTCTCGCTGCTTATGACTTTAACATTTATCTAATTCCGCCGAGTGAATCGGATATTTGCTTCCGGCTTCGTTCTGACATCGACAATCACGAGGTCGATCTGTCGATAATGCACTGGTCTTGGGAATTCGTCTGGTCTTTGTACCTGATTTTCCAATTGGCTTGTTGTAGTAGCTCACGGATGTATTTGAATACTTATCATTAAATATATCTACATGTATACCTACACGTACTATTGCACATATTATAGTAGTTCATAATATATAGTAGTAGTTCGAAAGTATTTGAACATTTATTATTGATTACACATACCTGTATATATAAATATCTATACCAATAATACGTACGTTGTATGTGCGATTATAAAATTATCAAAATTATCTCAATTTTTTTTCTCTCCACCCTTGCCTGATAATCTATTTTCAATGATGATTAATAAAGTTATCAAATGTATGTACGTACGTATGATCACAAAGTTATATCAAATAATCTAAAATAATAATTACAAAATTATCTCGATTTTTTTCCTCACTACCCTTGCCTGATAATTTATTTTCAATGATGATTACAAAGTTATACAAGTTTTAAGACAAAGATTGTAACATTATCTGAATTTCTTCTTTCCATCGTCGTCTGATAATTTATTTTTCAATGATGATTATCACAAAATTGTATCAAATTGTAAAATAAAGATTACAAAATTGTCTCGATTTTTTTCTCCTTCTCCTTGTCTGGTCAATTCATTTCCAAGCTTAATTTAAAATGACATGAATACACATTGTTAAACATGTATGAGTCAATGCAAAAAACATTTTAATCAGTGATCTTTACTGAAAAATATGCATGTTTGCGTTTACAGGTAATATTGGTCCAATTTCTCGATAATCTTTCCATTGTTCCCATTATTCTCTTTAATTATCCCCATCAAGATTTACAAGTTTCTAAAAATATTATCGCAAACATTCACAACGCTGTAAATCCCTCCTAACACAACAAAGCAACTCTCCACGAAGATTCGATGTAGGATAATTCTTATTCTTAACATCCCTCCCCCCTTCTTCAGTGAATTTTCGTTATCTCGAATTTTCCGAAGGTGTAATAAAATACTCGACGGGACAGAGTTGTTCTCATCGTTGTTCTCGTCGTAATTCGTTCGCTATCGTTGTTCATCTAAAAAAAAAAAGCCAGCCGACCAGCGTAGCAATAACCGGCAGAGTTATTAGACTCTGGCTCGGAGTTTCGCGAACGAACAAACAGCTGTATCAAAATAACTGTATCTATAAAGTGTCGTAAACCATTAATTAGCGTCGCGCGGCAAAACACTTTGCTCAACTGTGTCACGTCTTCCGCGCAAACGTGGAATTAATAATAAGTTAGATTGCGCCATATTGAAGCGAAGAACTGTTCACAGCGGTGCAGCGGTTTTGACCTCTTAATACGGCTGGGTTGTTACTGCTGCATCATTGAAACGAGCAAATCGTCTCTGCCTCTGGTGAAAAGTGTAATG